GAAGTGATAATACCGGCCAGGAATCGACACAAGGGATGGCTCAAGGAGAAGCTATCGGTGGCAGTCGTACAACGGGCAAGCGAAGATGACGACACGTCGAAATTTTTGGAAGCAGAGCTGTCGAGTTTTAGCAGCATGAAGGGAACATCGAACATGGCAGAGCATCAGATCACGATGAAAGCCGACAAACCAATAAAGCAGCGATACTGCCCCAAGAACCCGAAAGTTCAAGGGGAGATCAATGCGAAGGTGGACAAGCTTCTCCAGATGGGATACATAGAACATTCAAGAAGCCCATACAGCTCTCGTGATGGTTAAAAAAAGACGGGCAAATGGAGACTGTGCGTCGAAGTTAGGCAAATCAACGCCAAGTCGATAAAGGATACATACCCGATGCCCCGAATAAATTATATTCTCGACCAACTGAGGGAAGCACGGTACATCAGCAGCTTGGACCTAAAGGATGGGTACTGGCAAATCCCACTGAAAGCAGACAGCAGGCAGTACACGGCGTTTACAGTGCCGGGGAAAGGCTTATTCCAGTGGAGAGTAATGCCATTCGGACTTCATTCGGCGTCTGCGACCTTTCAACGGGTGCTGGACCGGGTGATCGGTCCCGAAATGTCGCCGCACGCATTTGCTTACCAGGATGACATCATAGTGATCGGGCGCTCGCTGGAAGAACACAAGGCTAACCTGAAGGAAGTGTTCCGACGGCTAAAGGAGGCAAATCTGAGGTTAAACCCGGAGAAGTGCCAATTTTTCATCGAGTGACTAGCGAAGGAATAGGCACGGATCTGAAAAGGGTAGCAGCCATCGCCGAACTAGAACCACCATCGACAGTAAGAGAGCTCCGACAGTCCCTGGGCATAGCATCATGGTACCGCCGGTTTGTACCTGACTTCGCAAAAACAGTCGAACCTGTCACCGATCCGCTACGCAAGGGCAATAAGTGGGTGTGGACACAGGAACATCAGACGGGGTTCAAAGAGGTGAAGGCAAGACTCGTCGCAGACCCCGTACTGGCATGCCCGGATTTCGACAAACCATTCATCTTGCAAGCTGACGCGAGCGACTACGGCATCGGCGCAATCTTGACCCAGGAAACTGAACGAGGCGAAAAGGTAATCTCTTACTCAAACCGAACGCTCAACGGCGCTGAGAAGAATTACTCAACAACCGAGAAGGAGTGCTTGGCAATCGTCTGGGCAATCCGAAAGCTCAAGCCGTATCTGCAAGATTACCACTTTAAAGTAGTAACCGACCACATGGCACTGAAGTGGCTCAACAGCATAGAGAGCCCTTCAGGGAGGATCGCCAGATGGGCCCTGGAGTTGCAGCAGTACGACTTCGAAATAGCGTACAGGAAAGGGCAACTCAACGTGGTGGCAGACGCTTTGTCAAGGCAGCCACTGCCGGAAACGCTTCGAGGGATCAAGGAGACGTCGGCGGCGGAAGCTTCTGCAGCATGCAGCTGGATTCTGGAAATGCGCGAAAAGATAGGGACCCAGCCACAAAAGTATCCAGACTACGTGATGGAGGGTAACACCCTGTACAGGAATATACCTCATAGAGCGGGCAGCGAAGATGTTGCAACATGGAAGATGTGCGTCCCGAAAGCTCTACGGGAAACGGTGCTGAAGGAGAACCACGACTCACCGGCGGCTGGCCATGTAGGAAGCCGAAAGACAATAGCACGTCTGGCAGCCCGGTACTACTGGCCAGGAATGCACAGAGACGCCCGAGCCCACGTGCGAGCATGCGAGACATGCATGAGGTTCAAGCCGAATCAGATGCAAATGGCTGGGAAAATGCTTACGCAGGTGCCAGAGGAACCATGGGCTACGGTATGTGCGGACTTCGTCGGACCCCTGCCGCGTTCTAAGCACGGCAACCAAATGCTGCTGGTATTGATAGACAGGTTTTCCAAGTGGACTGAGTTGGTGCCGCTGCGAAGCGCGACGGCCGAATCCCTAAAGAAAGCTTTTAAAGAACGCATAATCGCGAGGTATGGGGTCCCCAAAATAGTCATAACGGACAACGGAGTCCAGTTTACCAGCAAAACCTTCAAGAGTTTCCTGGCCGAAATGGGAGCCAGGCAACAGTTCACAGCTCCATACACCCCACAGGAGAACCCGACTGAGAGAGCCAATAGGACGGTGAAAACAATGATTGCGCAGTTCGCAGGGCAGAACCAAAGAGACTGGGACGAAAAATGGCCAGAAATTATGCTGGCAGTAAACACGAGCGTTTCAGAATCCACAGGTTACACACCGTCGTTCATTACCCAAGGCAGAGAACCAAGACTACCGAGCGCCCTATACGACAGAGAAACCGTAGGGACCGGACGACCGACAGAGACCCCGGAAGAGAATGCTAACAAACTCAGGGAAATCTTCGAGATTGTAAGGCGGAACCTGGAGAAAGCGTCCCAGGACCAGGCTAGGCATTATAACCTAAGGAGGAGGCAATGGACGCCAAAGGTGGGTGACGTCGTGTGGGCCAAGGAACACCATTTATCAAAAGCGGCCGAGGGGTTCGCAGCAAAATTGGCCCCAAGATACGACGGACCTTACCAAGTCAAAGGTTTTGCGTCACCAGTAATCTGCTAAATACGACACATAAACACGAAGAAAGAGCGGACCATCCACGTAAGCGAGCTGAAACAGCAACAAACGGAAAACACAAGCGAGCGGCTACAGCAAGCAGACACAACAGATGCAAAACAACATTAAAGGATCCCAAGGATACCTACAAGGATGCCCAAAGGATACTACGAAAGGAGTCCAAGGATACCTCCAAGGATGCCCGAAGGATACTACAAAAGGAGTCCAAGGATACCTCCAAGGATGACCAAAGGATACTACGAAAGGATCCCAAGGATACCTCCAAGGATGGCCAAAGGATACTACGAAGGGAGTCCAAGGATACCTCCAAGGATGACCAAAGGACACTACGAAAGGATCCCAAGGATACCTCCAAGGATGCCCAAAGGATACTACGAAAGGATGCCCAAAGGATACTACGAAAGGAGTCCAAGGATACCTCCAAGGATGCCCAAAGGATACTACGAGAGGAGTCCAAGGATACCTCCAAGGGTATTACAAAAAGGGTATTACGAAAGGATTCCAGGGATACCTCCAAGGATGCCCAAAGGATACTACGAAAGGAGTCAAAGGATACGTCCAAGGATTCCCAAAGGGTACTACGGAAAGAGTCAAAGGATACCTGCAAGGATTCCCAAAGGATACTACGAACAAATTCCAAGGATACCTCCAAGGATACTACAGGGCATCTACAAAGGCGCAATGAAGCACATAAAGGACATCAGGAGAACGTTAAGAACACAAAGGGAGCGAACCAGAGCGTCTAAGGTCTCGATTGGGACTGATCGGAGGAAAAGAAAAAACACGCATCAAAAGTCTGCCGAAGGAAGGGGGAAGACGGCACAGAGCAGAGAGCTGTACCGTAGATCTGGGTAGTAAGAAGGAGAGGCCGATGGAAATAGCGGGATTGAGCAAAGAGGAAGGCTCGGAACCGAGGTGTCGTTAAAGGGAGCCCAGGCTCCAGCTGCACAATCAAAAATCAACGAGCATCATGAGCACACGTGTGACGAGGAGCGAAGTGCGCAGGATGATGGCTGCCCACCAGCTGTCCGGAGGATCTAGCCCGGGGCAAGGATGGTCGGCAGCCCGGCCTACCCGAACCTCGCGGCGGATCTCCGGGCGGGGCGTCCCCGATCCGGTGATCAGCTCCGACAGCGACGTCGAGTTGGTGGAGGACCCGCGGGTGGAGCAACGGCGATGGCGGCTTCGCAAGGCGTTCAACCGGGCCGACGGACGCATCCCGACTGGCGCGGCGCAGGTGGAGTGGGCCAGTGAAGAACCGCCCCAGGACCAGCCGGCTCCCGTTAGCCATGCCGAGGCTGTGGTAGCGGCTACGTCGGAGTTCCGGCGCAAGTGCGAGGCGCGAAGGCGAAACGAGGAGCGGCGGTTGAAGGAGATGGAGGAGTCGCCGGAGTGGCAGGCCCAACCACGGATGGCCGAGGAGGAGGAGACGCAGCTGTGGGAAAACCCGGGGTACCCACCTACGCCGAGGTATGCGCCCGAACCCTGCACCCCGCCGCAAGAAGTGGCAGACGATTGGGCGCCCTCGCCTCCGCGGTGGCTGCCCGAAATCCCGCCCACACCGCGGTACGAGGGGTCACCGCAGCAGCAGCCACCGCAGCAGCAGCCACCACAGCAGCAGCCGCCACCGCAGCAGCAGCCACCACCGCAGCAGCAGCCACCACAGCAGCAGCCACCACCGCAGCAGCAGCCACCACAGCAGCAGCCGCCACCGCAGCAGCAGCCACCACCGCAGCAGCAGCCGCCACAGCAGCAGCCACCACCGCAGCAGCAGCCACCTCAGCAGCAGCCACCACCGCAGCAGCAGCCACCACAGCAGCAGCCACCACCGCAGCAGCAGCCACCGCAGCAGCAGCCACCACCGCAGCAGCAGCCACCACAGCAGCAGCCACCACCGCAGCAGCAGCCACCACCGCAGCAGCAACACATCCGGACAGACATACCGGCGGCCCACGTGAGCCACAGCACCCGGACGTTCGTGGCCAAAGGGGTAAGGTGGCGACAGCAGACGGTTGTCTGGACCTGGCCGGAGGGACCCGCGGAGGAGACGGCAGCGACGGAAGAACCCCGGATCTGGGAAGAATGTGGTCCCCGGGTGAGCCCGCTGGACCCCAGGACCCGTGGCAGACCGGAGCAGTGGGCACCACCGACGCCGAGCACCGGACCAACGACGCCAAGGACAGGGCCATCGACGCCAACGCCTACCGGGAGCGCAGTAACCGCGGAGCCTCTGGAGCGAGGACCCTGGGTGTGGCCTGAGCCCGTGGAAAACGGCCGTCCTCCGCTCAAGCGGCAGCACTCGGCGCCCGAAGTGTCCAAGGTGGTGGCCCGGCCGAAGTTGTCGCAGACGGTGTCGGCGCCGGAGGGCCAGCGATGGCGAGAGATCGCGGAGCCGGAGTGGCCCGAAGGGATCGCGGAGGCACCGGTGGTACATGAGGCTTGCATCCTGGGCGGCAGGCGCAGCGTGCGCGTATGGAGAGAGGGGCGCGCGTTCCGCGTCCGGTTGGGGCTGGCGGGCATGAGAGTGTTCGAGGAGCAGAAATAAAAGTTAAATGAAACGAAAAACAGAGTTTAAAAAAAAAACCGGCATAGAACGGGAAACGTGGCTGAAACAGGGGCCAGAAGTAAGGGGCATACATGGCAGCTTCAGCGTCCTGAAATCAATATTGGGTTAATACAGGAAGCAGCCAAGCGACACCAAAATACTTACCTGCAGCGAAGCAAATGCGAAGTCCTCTCCGCACCAGCTTTCGAGTGTTGCCAGCGTAAAGCCAGGCTCAGCCGGCCGAGGACGATTAAAGGGCGAGAGAGAGAGACGAGAGACGAGAGAGGTCGTGTGGAGAGAGAAAGGATGAAATAGAAAGGAGTGAGGAAATGCGAAAACTTACCTAGAAAGTTGCAAAATCACCATGAGCCAGGGAAGGGGGCGCCTCGATAGGCGATCGATTGGTACTAGATGAAAGTGCGATCGATGGGTACACGTCAAATGGTAATATCGGCCAAAGGTGGAAATATCGCAACGAGCAGGTGGCAACGCCGCACCGTCGATATCGATATCGCACATCGATCACACACGAATGGTGTGACCAGGCGGAGGAAGCAAATAAAAGGAGTAGACCGCAGCGATGAACAGCGAGCTGGGGATCGATAGCACACGAGTATCGATGTCCCAGTGGAGTCAGGAAAGATATCGGCGCGGGAGATTCAAGTTGCTACGAGGAGGATGGCCAGCGCTGTAGAAACTCAACGGAGTTAAGAGCGTCGTGGGAGCATCGAGGGAGCAACGAGGGAGCGCCGCGGGAATCACAAGGACTCGAAGGCTAGGATAAACAAGAAAACGCCGGAGAGTAGGAACAAGTTTAAAATGTTTCCCGAAGTAAGGGGGGAATGTGAGGAGTTGAATAACTCCCCACAAATAGAAACAGCAGCGGATGGCCGGCCGCTTGCCAGATACGCGGCGAATTCGCGTAGTAACGGCGCGGCGAGGAGAGCGAGAGAGTTTGGAGACCAACGAAGGAGAGCGAGAGAGTTTGGAGACCAATGAAGGAGAGCGAGAGAGTTTGGAGACCAAGGATGGAGATCGAGAGAGAGTGGAGACTTCGCGGGCAAGGCAAGAGTGCCGTGTGCAAAAGCGGGTAACGGAACTCCACCGGACTTTGGACTCTCCCGTGAACTTTGGACCGGGAGAGGAAGTGCCACATCTCGGCGGTGGAGCGGCACACAGGCGTGCCACAAGCATCACGGGAATCAGCGGGATGGCAGCAGTGGGCGGAGCATCGATTGGAAGCGGTACGGGAACGACAAGTGGGTCATCCAGGAGGCACGGACTTTGGACCCAGAGTGGAGAGATCCAGCGGGCCGTGCGCAAAAGGGAAATAAAGTTTCCCGGAGGCCCTATATAAGGCCGCAGAGCGCTGGCAGCTGGATCAGTCGATCACAAGGAGTCAAACCGTCAAGATCACTCATATACCAAAGTGAACAATCAAACAACCAGATAATCTACAAGGGAGCAGCAGCAAGTCGAGTCGCCAGAGAAGCAGCGTCGTGGGAGCCTACAAGGAGCGAGATTGCTACGTCGAGACGTTCGGGATTGGGGTACCAGGAATCTCCGAATTGAGACGCAGGTAGCTGAGATCCAGAGGGCATCACACGGCTAGGTCAAGGCGGTCGATTAACCCTGTCCACAAAGTCCTGGCGTTACGCCTGGAAAGAGTATAACAAGCCAGAAGGGAGAGCGGTCGATCGGTAAGGTCTCGAGTGGAATTGTCCAGGAGAGTCCTACGGATTCGACTTGCGAGGTCCCGGAGCGGCGTGCCCGAACCACGAGTATAACAAGCCAGAAGGGAGAGCTGTCGATCGGTACAGTCTCGAGTGGAATTATCCAGGAGAGCCCGGAGCGGCGTGCCCGAACCCCGAGTACCAAAAGCCACACGGAAACGTCCCGGACAAAAGGCAAAAGGGTGAGGCTAGGGTGGAACGTTCGTTTACACCAGGCGTGGAAGCGAAGTAAGGCGCGAGGCAGCTTCCTGGCGTTCCGCCTTGACTGTCCGCGCGGGCTGAGCAGAAACCCAGTGGGACCATCCGGGACAGAGCAAGGGACAGGCGGCGGTGTGTCGAAAGGAGCGATCCTGGAGAGCGCAGCTTCTGTTCACCCTAGTCTGAGAACGGTGACGCTTCCCTAAGCCCGTACGGCCGATACCCCTCGCGATTCCGAGTCGTTACCAGCAGTCACCAAGTCACGCGTGACAAGTGAGCAGCGAGCGAGCGTCTTCAGGGAGCTGCGAGGATCTTCAGGGAGCGGCGAGGATCTTCAGGGAGCTGCGAGTATTTTCAGGGAGCTACAGGACTGGAGCACCGAGTCGTCAAGGCGAGAGGTCGTCGAGTCAATCAGGGCCGTCGGAAGCACCGAGGGTCACAAGCAACGAGTCAAGGCCAACCAAGCGACTAAGACACTTGTAATAATATACCCGCAATAAAACCCAATACGAACCCGTGAATTCTATGCTTTCTCACTGAGCCACTGGGCGGTCACGTTAATATAAATTTGGTGGGACGAACACACAATATACTGAGCTAGCCGCACGAATCTCGTAGCGAGAAGACCATAAAAATCAGTTCGTTACAACATACAAGGCCACAATCGACACCGGGGCAACAGCAATTATAAAGCTTGCTGTTTTGCTTGCAAAGAACTGGCGGACAACCTGGCTGCCCTCGGCAAGATTACGAGGATTCGACGGCAAGTTAGGTTGGCAGAATAGATGAGCAGCTGGAGGTGGAAATCGCGTTCGGGAACAAGCGACTGAGCATGAGCCTACTGATACTACCAGGGGTAGTGGATTCATTAGTGTTGGGATGGAACTTACTAACACAAGTCGGTACCGAGATTAAGTGCGCTGGACACGAAGTGATAATACCGGCCAGGAATCGACACAAGGGATGGCTCAAGGAGAAGCTATCGGTGGCAGTCGTACAACGGGCAAGCGAAGATGACGACACGTCGAAATTTTTGGAAGCAGAGCTGTCGAGTTTTAGCAGCATGAAGGGAACATCGAACATGGCAGAGCATCAGATCACGATGAAAGCCGACAAACCAATAAAGCAGCGATACTGCCCCAAGAACCCGAAAGTTCAAGGGGAGATCAATGCGAAGGTGGACAAGCTTCTCCAGATGGGATACATAGAACATTCAAGAAGCCCATACAGCTCTCGTGATGGTTAAAAAAAGACGGGCAAATGGAGACTGTGCGTCGAAGTTAGGCAAATCAACGCCAAGTCGATAAAGGATACATACCCGATGCCCCGAATAAATTATATTCTCGACCAACTGAGGGAAGCACGGTACATCAGCAGCTTGGACCTAAAGGATGGGTACTGGCAAATCCCACTGAAAGCAGACAGCAGGCAGTACACGGCGTTTACAGTGCCGGGGAAAGGCTTATTCCAGTGGAGAGTAATGCCATTCGGACTTCATTCGGCGTCTGCGACCTTTCAACGGGTGCTGGACCGGGTGATCGGTCCCGAAATGTCGCCGCACGCATTTGCTTACCAGGATGACATCATAGTGATCGGGCGCTCGCTGGAAGAACACAAGGCTAACCTGAAGGAAGTGTTCCGACGGCTAAAGGAGGCAAATCTGAGGTTAAACCCGGAGAAGTGCCAATTTTTCATCGAGTGACTAGCGAAGGAATAGGCACGGATCTGAAAAGGGTAGCAGCCATCGCCGAACTAGAACCACCATCGACAGTAAGAGAGCTCCGACAGTCCCTGGGCATAGCATCATGGTACCGCCGGTTTGTACCTGACTTCGCAAAAACAGTCGAACCTGTCACCGATCCGCTACGCAAGGGCAATAAGTGGGTGTGGACACAGGAACATCAGACGGGGTTCAAAGAGGTGAAGGCAAGACTCGTCGCAGACCCCGTACTGGCATGCCCGGATTTCGACAAACCATTCATCTTGCAAACTGACGCGAGCGACTACGGCATCGGCGCAATCTTGACCCAGGAAACTGAACGAGGCGAAAAGGTAATCTCTTACTCAAGCCGAACGCTCAACGGCGCTGAGAAGAATTACTCAACGACCGAGAAGGAGTGCTTGGCAATCGTTTGGCGATCCGAAAGCTCAAGCCGTATCTGCAAGATTACCACTTTAAAGTCGTAACCGACCACATGGCGCTGAAGTGGCTCAACAGCATAGAAAGCTCTTCAGGGAGGATCGCCAGATGGGCCCTGGAGTTGCAGCAGTACGACTTCGAAATAGCGTACAGGAAAGGACAACTCAACGTGGTGGCAGACGCTTTGTTAAGGCAGCCACTGCCGGAAACACTTCGAGGGATCAAGGAGACGTCGGCGGCGGAAGCTTCTGCAGCATGCAGTTGGATTCTGGAAATGCGCGAAAAGATAAGGACTACGTGATGGAGGGTAACACCCTGTACAGGAATATACCACATAGAGCGGGCAGCGAAGATGTCGCAACATGAAAGATGTGCGTTCCGAAAGCTCTACGGGAAACGGTGCTGAAGGAGAACCACGACTCACCGGCGGCTGGCCATGTAGGAAGCCGAAAGACAATAGCACGTCTGGCAACCCGGTATTACTGGCCAGGAATGCACAGAGACACCTGAGCCCACATGCATGAGATTCAAGCCGAATCAGATGCGAATGGCTGGGAAAATGCTGACGCAGGTTCCAGAGGAACCATTGTCTACGGTATGTGCGGACTTCGTCGGACCCCTGCCGCGTTCGAAGCACGGCAACCAAATGCTGCTGGTATATATAGACCGGTTCTCCAAGTGGACTAAGTTGGTGCTGCTGCAAAGCGCGACGGCCGAATCCCTAAAGAAAGCTTTTAAAGAACGCATAATCGCGAGGTATGGGGTATAACGAGGTATAACGGACAACGGAGTACAGTTTGCCAGCAAAATTTTCAAGAGTTTCCTGGCCGTAATGGGAGCCAAGCAACAGTTCACAGCTCCTTACACCCCGGAGGAGAACCCGACTGAGAGAGCAAAAAAGGACGGTGAAAACAATGATTGCGCAGTTCGCAGGGCAAAACCAAAGAAACTGGGACGAAAAACGGCCGGAAATCATGCTGGCAGTAAACACGAGCGTTTCAGAATCCACAGGTTACACACCGTAGATAATTACCCAAGGCAGAGAACCAAGACTACCGAGCCCCCTATACGACAGAGAGACCGTAGGGACCGGACGACCGACTGGGACCCCGGAGGAGAAGGCCAACAAACTCAGGGAAATCTTCGAGATTGTAAGGCGAAATCTGGAGAGAGCCTCCCGGGATCAGGCGAGCTGAAACAGCATCAAAGGGAAAACACAAGCGAGCGGCTACAACAAGCAATGTACCCAAAACAACATTGAAACTTCAAGGATAACTCCAAGTATTCTCAGAGGATACTACGAAGAGAGTCCAACGATAACTCCAAGGATTCTCAAAGGATACTGCGAAAGGAGTCCAAGGATAACTCCAAGGATTCTCAAAGAACACTGCAAGAGAGTCCAAGGATAATTCCACGGATTCTCAAAGGACACGCCGAAAGAGTGAAAAGGATAACTCCAAGGATCCTCAAAGGATACGACGGAAGAGTCCAAGGATCCTCAAAGCATACTACGAACGCACTCCAAGGATAACTGCAAGGACTCGCAAGGGATACTACGAAGTGACTCCAAGAATAACTCCAGGGACTCGCCAAGGATACTACGAAGTAACTACAAGGACGGGTTAAGATAAATCCAAGGCATCGCCAAGGATACTACAGGGCAACAACAAATGTGCAAGGAAATACGAGAACGACAAGAACACAAAGGGAGCAGCCCAGGGCGTCCAAAGACAGCACGGAATTTGATTCCAGCGTCGGCCGCAATGAGCCCTTCGAATTTGCGCTCGGCAAAGGCAATGTTATCAAGGCCTTCGACATGGGGGTGGCCACCATGAAGATCGGCGAACGCTGCTTCCTCACATGTGCTACCAATTCCGCTTACGGAGCTGCCGGCAGCCCGCCCGCCATTCCTCCGGATGCTACTCTGATCTTTGAGCTGGAGATGCTGGGCTGAAAGGGCGAGGATCTGAGTCAAAATCAGGACGGCAGCATTGACCGCACCATTTTGGAGGCCAGCGATAAGAAGCGCACTCCCAGCGATAATGCCTTCGTCAAGGTTCACATTTATGGTGCTTTCGAGGCCCGCGTGTTTGCGGATCGCGATGTGAAGTTTTGACTACGGAGAGGGGCATACATGGCGGTTCCAGCAATCTGAAATGCAAAGGGGTTTAATGCAGGAAGCAGAAAACAAACACCACAGTACTTACCTACTGCGAGGCAAATCCGAATTCCTCTGCGCACCCGCTCTATAGTGTTGTCAGCGTGGAGCCAGGTTCAGCCGGCTGAGGTCGACGGATGGACGAGAGAGAATGAAAGGAGAGAGAAAGGTTGGGATAGAAAGGAGTAAAGAATGCGAAAACTTACCTATGAAAGTTGCAAAATCACCATGACCCAGGGAAGGGGCGCCTCGATAGGCGGTCGTTTGGCACTGGACGACAATGCGATCGATGGGCACACACAAAATACACACGCATGGTGATTATCGCAACGGGCAAGTGGCAACGCCGCCCCAGCGATATCGGTAGCTGATGTGTATCGATATCATGGGGAGCCCCGCTGGGTTATCGATAGCTGATGGGTATCGACGCCCAGTGTAAACAGAAAGAGGATCGGCGCGGAAAATTTGAAGTTGCTACGAGATGGACCAGCGCTGTAGAAACTCAATGGAGTTAAATGCGTCCAGGGAGCATCGAGGGAGCAACGAGGGAGCGCCACGGGAATCGGCAGGAGCATCACAAGGACTCGAAGGCTAGGATATGCAAGGAAACGCCGGAGAGTAGAAACGAGTTTTTAAATGTTTCCCGAAGTAAGGGGGGAATGTTAGGAGTTGTATAACTCCCCACAACTCTCAGCAGCAGCAGCATCAGATGGCCGGCCATACGCGGCGAATACGGGTAGTAACGGCACTTCGGGAAGAGAGAGTTTGGAGAATTCAGTTCAAGAGAGGTTGGAGAATTCAGTTCAAGAGAGTTTTTGAGAATTCAGTTCGGTAGAGTTTTGGAGAATTCAGCTCAAGAAAGTTTGGAGAATTCAGTACAAGAGAGTTTGCTTTCTCACATAGTTACTGGGCGGTCACGTTAGTATAAATTTGGTGGGACGAACACACAATCTACCGAGCTAGCCGCACGAATCTCGTAACGAGCAGACCACAAAGATCAGTTCGTTACAACAGCTCCAACCCCATCGAATGAAACCTTGCCATGTGACGATGCGAAATAACTCCACTCAATATGCTCGCAATCAAATTCAAAAACAAAATCTGTTAGGCTCTGAATTATGATCTTCTTTTTGAATTGTGAAGTACTAACTAACTTGTAAACATCTAGTCAGTACCATGACAGACTATTAGCTTTAAGTGTCAATTGTACATATAGAATAATCGATTAATGATGTGAACTGATAGATGGTCACACATAAATGTTAGTTAGGATCTAAGAGAACCAGGCCGGTTTAGACCGGTTTTTGGTGTGAAGAACACGTTTTTGGAAAGCAAAACACTAAATAAAATAAAACGAAGCCCATCCTATTGGCTTCTAAAAAACTAAAAACGTAAGCTGTTTACAAATCAGGTGTGGGGTTTTCCCCAGATCTTCTCGGGATGAAATACTCTGATATATTAATCCTGACAAAGGATGAACTAGCGAGCCTGCTAATCACAAAAGATGTACCAGTGGACGGCAAAGAGACCATACAACAACTGCGAGCGATGGCAAAAGCCGTACTGTCAACAGCTACCATGGAGTTGGACAACATAACTGAAAAATCGGATGACGAGGTCGATGATGTAGCTGAGAGTGTGCCAGGACCGGACGGCCGCAATTCCGACGAAGTGGCCGAAATTTTAAACCAGCTGACCCTGTACAGAGCCCGGAAGGATCTTGCCGAGTTGAAAGTTCAAGTGGCCGCTTTGGAGAGCGGCACTGTGGACCGCAAACCTACCATTGACATTAAGGACATAGAATCAACCTTGCGAAATTTCTCTGGAGACGATCACGTTGGTGTTCATGCATGGATTCGTGAGGTGGACTGGGCTGCTGATATACAGGGCTTGAGCGATCCTCAGCGTTGCCTACTGGGTAATCGCAAGCTACAGGGGTCAGCCCGTTCATACACGATGTACGAAAGTTTTTTCACCACCTGGAAGGAACTGAGCGAGTGTCTTCTCAAAGTCTTTGGGTTCCAAATGACGAACCATGAGGTTGCAAAGCAGTTGCAGAGTCGCTCACTCCTTGAAAGCGAATGGCTGCTACAATATTTTATAGTTATGCGTAATATTGCTAGACAAGGGACGTTCGAGGACACGGACTTTATAAAATACATTGTGGATGGCTTGCAGGATCACACCGGCTGCGCAGCACCGTTGTATTACTGTGTTTCTCTCGATGAGCTGCGTGAGAAAATGATGCGTTATTAGACCGTACAGGCCGAGTGTAAACGAAAGCCACAAGCTCTACGCACGGCTGTACCTTTGCGACAGTTATCTTCCGCAAACATTTCGGATGCCCGTAATGCAGACGCCAACATAAGGTGCTTTAATTGCCGCTCAATGGGACATTACAGGAATTAATGCAAGAAACCGAGGCGCCCAGAGGGAGGATGCTTCCATTCCTTTGAGACTGGGCACCAGTACCGGGAGTGCCCGAAGCGTATACGGACAGCTGCGTTGTGTGCCAGTGACGAGAAGGAAGAGGAAGACGATTCTGTTGGCGGAAACTCGTTTACTCAACTAGTAAGCATAAAATTACCTAGTAAACAGGGATGCATTGATATTGATAACATTTTTGCATTTTTAGATACCGGAAGCCCGGTGAGTTTTATAAGTAAAGAAATCATTCCGCAAGCTGTTATTTATGAAAACCTAGAAGATCGTCGTTTCCCTGGCCTCAGTGGACAAAACATTTTGACAGTTGGAAAAGTTAAACTGATTCTTGTGTTTAAAGAAAAATAGGGGAGAAATCGTCAAATTGTTGTGTATATGGATGATATAATTCTGCCATCTAGTACTGTAGATGAGCATCAAAAGGTATTAGCTACGTTGCTGAATATTCTTGTTAAGTTACGTCTCGAAATAAATTTCAAAAAAAGTAGCTTCTTGCAAAAACGTATTGATTACTTAGGTTACGATGTTAGTGCTCAATTTTGCCTAACGATACTCACTTGGGAGCGATCAAACGATATCCGGAACCACTCAACAGTAAAGCGTTGCATTCTTGTCTCGGTTTATTCTCATATTTTCGAAAGTTTGTCCCTAATTTTTCAAGCGTGGCAAAGCCCTTAACCGACCTATTAAAAAAAGGAGTGCCCTATCCAATGCCAGATTCCGAAAGAAATGCCTTTGTGGAGTTAAGGACAGCATTCTCGAACCCGCCAGTCCTGTCAATTTTCAACCCCCATTACGAAACGGAATTGCATACTGATGCCAAAACAGTTAGATAAGACGCTTCATCCCGTTTTCTTTTACTCAAGAAAAGCTACCGCAGCCATATCTCGTTATCACAGTTTTGAACTTGTAACCTTGGCAATTATATACGCTTTACGTCGTTTCCGTCGATTGGAACACAAGCCTTTCCTAATTGTAACAGATTGCAGTTCCTAGGTTCAAACAAGTAGACAAACGGAGTTGTTAGTTGATGACGAGGTTGAAGGAGTTTCCGATCCGTGTGTGACACAGTCTATGATTAAAAATCCGTGTGTACCTATGTACCTTGTGAACCTGAAAACCCGGTTGAACCTAAAATACCTTGTAAACCTGAAACCCGGTTGAACCTAAAATTCCTTGTAAACCTGAAGACCCGGTTGAACCTAAAATACCTTGTAAACCTGAAAATTCGATTGAATCCGTGAAAGTATTCCCCGAAGTTAGTAAACTTGTTGGAATTGTTGGAGAAGACCCATGCGACATTGATTTGCTTTTGCAGACGGAGCAGATGAGGGATAACGAAGTGCGTACCATGCGACAGAAATTGGAGAAAGGAGAGATAGAACGGTTTGTTTTAATTGATGGAATAATTTATAGAGAGAATGATAACGGAAGGTTATGTTTGTATGCCCCAACTCAAATGCAAGAACAGTTGATCAGATTAAGTCATGAAAAGTTGGGTCGCCTTGGAGTTGATAAATGTGTTGACGACCTGAAAAATAAGTATTGGTTTCCGTTGTTGAGAAGCAAAGTTGAATCCTTTATCCGCAATTGTTTGCCATGTATCCTTCATTCAGTAAATAAAAGTGTCCATGAGCGTACCCTCCATAGTATTCCGAAGGTCCCAATTCCGTTTGATACCATTCACATTGAATATTTGGGTCCGTTGCCTTGTATCAATTCAAAAAGAAAACACCTGTTAGTTACTATCGACGCTTTTACCAAATTCGTGAAATTGTACCCAGTTAATTCTACCAGTACCAAAGAAGTTAATGCCAGTCTTTCAAAATACTTTGAGTATTATAGCCGACCGCGACGAATTATTTCGGATCGTGGTACCTGTTTTACATCATTTGAGTTTTCTACTTTCCTAAGTGAGCGAAATATAGAGCACGTTAAAGTTGCTACCGCAGCCCCTCAGGCGAACCGTCAGGTGGAACGCATAAACCGAGTGTTAACCCCGATGTTAGGTAAACTGTCCGAGCCGTTGAACCAATCCGATTGGTACAAGTTGGTCAACCGAGTTGAATTTGCAATTAATAATTCCGTTCAGAAGAGTACTGGAAAAACTCCTAGTATTTTGCTTTTTGGTAGCAACCAGCGGGGACCCGTTGTTGACGAATTATCCAAATATCTTGAGGAGAAGTTTAGCATTTTTAACCCGTGTGCTATTACCTCCGAAAGGATAGAAGCTAGTGAGAATATTAAACGGTCACAAGCTCGTAATGAATCCATATATGCCCTAAGACACAAAGCACCCATGAAGTATAATAATAATGACTTTGTTGCCATTCGCAATGTTGATGTTAGGCCTGGACATTGTATGAAATTCGCACCCAAATACCGTGGGCCATACAAAATTAGTCGAGTACTTCCCAATGATCGCTACGAGTTATCCGATATAGAAGATTGTCAGCTC